AAAATTAATTACTGTTTTGCTTTAATTTAAAAGCTAATCAATAATTATTGTAACTGGATTTAATACCACCACTAAAATATCAATGATTCCAATATTCCAATGCAATAATATAATAATAAATAAACAAAATAAAATAAAATTTAATACTGTAGCTTAACCTAATTTTTTAATAAATCAAAAAATAAATTTTCACTCCGAATTTTTTAATTTACACTGATCTTTTATTTTTATTAAAAAATATTTCAAACATTTAATTTAACAAACGAACATATAATGTAATATTACATTTAATTTTATTATATTAGTGTTCCTAGAATTTTTTCAGATTTCTTGAAATGTTAAAACAATAAAAGAATTTAAATTTAGATATATAAAAGACCGAGGGTTACAGAAATAGAACCTATAAATACGTAACTTCCGAGTTGTACAGCATTCTGAAAGGAACTTTAAACTATAACTTACTATATCGTATAGAAAATTTTTTTACTTTTAAATCTTACCTTTAAATTTTTTTTTCTTTTTTTGCCTTTTATTATAATAGTCGATAATTAGAAACGAAATATATTGATTTTGAATCTAAATATTCATTGATTTAAAAATTATATGTATTTTAAATTTGGTATTTTTTATTGTAATAAATTAAATTAAACTAAATTAACTAAATTAAATTAAATTAAATTAAAGTTATATTGTCAACGTCACACTTTTGCAAAGAATTGGATTAGAAAGTTATTTTCACGATAATCGAATATGTGAATATTTATTGCGTCACTTTTGTCGTCAAAATGATCGATCTGATGACATCATTAACCCAATTTCTTTTATTATATTTTTTTTTTCAATTTTCAACGAATAAAAATTAAATATACCGATTAAGTTAGGTTAAGTTAGATAACTTCTGAATTATTATATTTCATTCACGCACTATGCAAAAAAAATTCAAAAGAAAAAGATATTTTAAAAAGAAAATCTGAACTTCAATACGAATATATCTAATATCTAAAGGCAGATATGAAATTTTCGTTTAATAGGTGTGTTAACAATTCGAACAATTCATCCGACGCGCGACGAGAGATAGGTGCCTAAATAAACCTCTTAAATCGAGGGATGTCATTCACACCGTTGTACAAACTACTCGTGCCCTTCGTTGCGCACGACAGTCAGCCAACGATGAAGAAGGGCATGTTGGTAAGAGCGAATCGCCTTTTCCGGAGCGCGGACAAAAGACGGCGGCTTTAGTGTGCGAGGCTCGCTAAAGAGAACGCGAGAGAGAAGTTGTTGGCCGGTATCCGAAAGAGAGAGAGAGAGAGAAATCCATACGCGGTGGCTGCAAGATAGCACGCAGTAGTGTTGGCCGCTCGCCCGTTTTCATTCATGATTTCGCGAGGGCGATGCTGGCGCCGTTGCTCCCCCGTGTGTACCACCTGCGCGTCCTCCTTTGTCGCCACTGCCGCCACTACTACCGCTACCGTTAAGCCACCCCACCTTTTGCCCCGTTTCCAGTGTTGCCGCCCCACCACGCTCAGGGACGTACACATCCGCGCGCAAGTGTTATTGTTCCTTATAGGGAGAACGGGTAAGAGCCCTAAAGCTAAAAGGTACAATTAGAATCGAGCGCGTGACCCGGCTCTCCGCTGTCTAATTCTCTTAGAGCTGGATCGATTTCGGTTTTCTTTTCCTTCCTCCATTTTTTTTCTTTTTATTTTTCTTAAGGTTTCATTTTTCTCTTTTTTCTCCTTTTGATTTCTCTTTCTTAATTTCAACATTTTCGCTGCCACGAATTCATATATTTATGCGGCAAGTAGGAATTCTTCATGACGAATATTGTTGATTTATCGAATATTATTGATTTTTGTGAAATTTTTCTTGTACCACAAAACTAACTATATATTAAAGATTTTTACTTCTTTTTTATGTTTTTTTCATGTTGTGTAAAATTAATCGAAGTAATTTCTTTAAAGAAGAACATGTTCTTGTTACTTATATTTTATATTATTTCTTGATTTGAAGTTGGAATTTTACGAATTGTTTATTGAATCGAAGTTACAATTTCCAAATATGATTTAATAAATTGCAAATAAGGATTCATAAATTTCAAGTGAACATAGTAAAAAAAAAAAAACACTGTTTTTTTCGGATTTCAAAGTATTGATTTTTTAAGATTTAATTAAAATTGATTAATTCGAAATACTTGATAGTGAAATTAAAAAAATGTTTCTAGAAAGTTAAATAAATAGGTACAACTTATTGTTGGAGAAAGGAATAAAGTGAAGTAAGAAAAGTAGGAATATGAGAATAACTTTCTTACTTGTGATAAGAATGATAAAAGGAATTTTATGGATTATCAAATTGAACAGTTCACTTATGGTTGATTAAATACCTCGAGTAGTTCATTGCGGAAAAAATTAATTTGCACACTTCCGAGCGTATGATCCGATAAGGGTCGAATTAATCGACTTGCAACCTATTTAATGTCGGCGTTATTATTAGCAATAAAGAAGGAAAGAAATGATACTAGTTGTGACAAAAAATAGTATTAGTTTATAATGGTTTATTATTTGATTATCAAATTCATTGCGAAATTCAAGAATCATAACACCGAAAATTTGTCTCGTAAAATTTATATTAATTAATTTTCAAAATTCTCATGGAATTTTTAAGATATGTTTTTTTTGTTTTATGAGAATTTGTCATTTCGCATATATTTATTAAAGTATTTATATTATTATATAATAATTATATTTATATTCTCTTTAATATACTATATCGTTAAATAATCGCTATGAGAACGTTGCTTGAAGAAAAAATGCACAAAAAGATAAATACAAATTTTTTTTATTATTTTTTTAATTTAATTTTGTATTAAATTTTATAACATTTAAAAATAATTTTGTCAAATTGAATTGTGAAAAATACTAATAATGTTTACGTATTTAATTACAATTTATTAAAAAATTTATTTACGCATGCATCATTTTGCATAAAAAAATAAGTTGAATATATATATAATATTTTGAAAGTTTTAATTAGAATTATAAACATGAAATACAGTTATATGTTGCTATAATTAGAAAAATAATTCAATTTTTAATTGCAATTATATAAATCTATTAAATTTCATAATTTGAGAAAAGAAAGATGAAAGAGGATGAAGAAAAGGATGGTATAGTTCTTGTAGTACGTTCCTTGGTGTCGTTTCCCATTTCAGGTTGGTGGCTTCGTTTTTCGTCGTAGATGTTCGTATCCTTCCGTTGCGATCCGGAAAAGCACGAGGCGTGCGTCGGGCGCTGTACGGAAATTGTCGAACGAAAGATATGGAGGTCGGTGGAGGTCGGCCAATTCTAGCACGCTCCAACGTCGATTCGGTTTTCAATACGTTATTGCCTCGAAATCATTTTCGCCCGGCTTTTCAGTCCACGTGTTCTTACAAGAACTCTGCTTGTTTTTACGAACCAAGCAACGGATCATTCAAATGCAAATATTAATATGCAATCCAACGAACCATGTTACGCAATCGTTAATAACTCGTAATGTTTGTAGACGGTTCGAGCGTATTGTATTAACAATACGATAATGTAATACGATATTTGTCATTGGAACGGCTTCAATATAGAAATATGCCGGTTCAATATTATCTATTTTTCAGTTGTTTCTTTTTCTGAGTCCAAGATAGAGACGGAAACGAATTAATTGGATCGGTGTATTAATTATCGAATGCAAAACGCTTTGTTACAATTGCTACTTTCTCCCGTTCTTTGATCGAAAAAGTACCAATGATATTTGAAATTATTAGTTTCTGATTTAATGCGGTTTATACGGTGCAATTGACAAGGTATAAGCAAATGGATAATTAAATTTACGTGTTAATGCCTTTTAAAATTACGTCTTAAATGCCATTTATATACGTATGAGTATGTTGATTTAACTACTATCGTTGGTCTATTGAAATTGACGACCTTTACAATCAGTTACTCATATTATTCTTTTGTCTACATAAATAATGAATTCAATATAATAGATTCAAAAAAAATGTAATTAATTTTAACCATTAATTAATATCATTCAATCATAATCTATAAAAATTTATTAAATTATTTAATTCTAGTACTTTATTTTAATTGATATATTTTATTTTGTTTTATATTAATTATAGTAAGAATATAGTAAGAATACACTGAATAATTTACGTGAACTACAATTTCTAGAACAATTATTATACTACAATATTTTTTTAGAAACAAAAATTTTTGTAAAAATTTTATAAAATATAATTTATATAAATATTTAATTATAATTCTTAATGCATCATATTAAATAGATAAAATACATGATTAAATTATGATAATTATTTCAAAGTATGATGTGAAAAAATAATTAAAGTGAAATCTTTTTTTATAATAAATAAAAAATATTGTTATATTTCTAACACTATATATAATATTTAGTAAATTATTTGAATATTTATATATTTCATAATATATTAATATATTATGAAATATATAATAAGTTTTTTAATTTTTATTTATTAATCTTATTTGTTATATCTGATGCAATACATTTTATTAATTTTTATGAGTAAAATTAGAAAAATACATATAAAAAGAAATTCGTGAATCATCGATATAAAATCAAACTATTGCAAATAAACAAAAGCATAAAATGGCAGGTCTATAAGTATATTTTACGTTATATGTGTAATAATAAAACATTATTGTCCATATAATATAACAAAATTATTTTTGCACATGTAACAAAAAACAGGAATATTTTATTTTATAACTTTATCAAAACTATAATATTAATTATAATTAAATGTAAACTAATTTGAGAAATATATTTAATGAGAAATGTTCCATCATATCTTTATCTTATAGATTATCATATAATAGTGCAATTTCATCGAGTTAAATTAAAATCACGTAAATTTAAAATAAATAATAAAAAACATCAATTAGCTAGATAATAATTGACTCGTTAATAATTAACGAATTTTGTTACAGGTACTGGTGAATCCGGCAAATCCACCTTTATTAAACAGATGAGAATCATCCACGGGTCTGGTTACTCGGATGATGACAAGAGGGGGTTCATCAAACTCGTATACCAAAACATTTTCATGGCCATGCAGTCCATGATCCGAGCGATGGACCTCCTCAAGATCCAGTACACCGAATCTTCGAATATAGTGAGTATTTTTAACGATGACCCTGGCTCCCTTTTTTTTTTTGCCGTGTTTAATTATGGTACTGGAGTGCAACGTGTGTGTTCTTCCCATCCGATCGTAGGAAAAAGCAGAACTTGTGCGAAGCGTGGACTTCGAAACGGTTACAACGTTTGAAAGCCCATACGTAGAGGCAATTAAAGATTTATGGGCAGATGGTGGTATCCAGGAGTGTTATGACCGCAGGCGAGAATATCAGCTCACAGATTCCGCTAAATAGTAAGTATTGTGCATTTCTTCGTATCTTCGTTATAACTCATCATATTATTTTGTCCTGAGGAGAGTGTATCTCTTTTTTTTCATCTCATACTATTCGATGCCATCGTTCAATTAATAATTTCTCACAAATGCACAGCTAAACCAATTCTCAAACGCGATTACGCCAAGAAGAGTACAGGTTTGATGCGAGACAATACAATTAAGTACGAGTATATAATTGCATAAAATTAAATTGTTTCTTTTAAAAATTTTATTAAAAATATTTGTTCGAGTTGCTTCTTGATAAATTTCTATTAAGTAAATTAACAATTCTCGATCCATCATAGGTACTTCTGTAAGTGTATTATATGATTTTGCTTTACTTGATATTTGTCCACCAAGCGATTATGATTTGAGAATGCTCGATTTCTCGCCGTACCAGGTATTGAGAGCATAATGTTTCAGTTACCTATTGGAGATAGATCGAGTCGCAGCACCAGACTACCTCCCAACAGAACAGGACATTCTTCGCGTGAGAGTACCCACTACTGGTATAATTGAATATCCCTTTGACTTGGAAGAAATTCGATTTAGGTATGTCTCGCCATGCAAAGAAAGGAAGACGCTGCCTGTGCCTGTGATTTACTACTTATACTACATTGGACTCTTTCTGCATCGTGGCTGCATGCGTTGTGACTCATCGATTTCACATTTGTACATTGAAATCCATCATTTGTTACGTTTTCTTTCCCTTTGTCGGTGATGTTTCGCGAGTTCTATTGATCCCTTTGGTTTTATGACTTATCTTAACCTTAAAAATCAAATTTAAACTTCTTTCTCAAACTTTTGTATTTGTAATTGGAATAAAATATTTATACATTATGTATTTTTATTATTTACAAGAAGTTTTGTTTTCTTCTTGAAATAAAGAATACATGTTCTTCTCTCCATTTCATGATAGGAATAATGCGGAAAATAATGTAAATTGTCCCGTTATCGGTTGGATGTCATAAAACTGTAAGAATAAATCAATGAACTTTGCAATATTCGAAAATTCTTACAGGCAGGGACAACAAGAGCATGTGTGAGCTGTTTTGCGATATCCCTCTCCTCATAATCACCTTTAATACATGCATGGCATGCACTATCAGACTGTGGCTTCGTTTATTTTGCAGTTATCTTAGTGACCTAGACCGTATTGAAAAGCCTGACTTCCTTCCTACTGAACAAGACATTCTTCGGGCTCGAGCTCCTACTACTGGCATTATAGAATATCCGTTTGATCTGGACTCCATCATATTTAGGTACTAACACACATTATTTGAAACTTCACTATACGTTTAGAAGTATGTATACTTTACTAATTTAATATTACACTAACTTGGAGTATGTGGATCAGTATGAAAAATATCTGTGTGTTTTTAAAAAAATAGAAACTTTGGTTTATTTTATTCGTATTATCTTGTATACATATATATATTTTTTTAATATATTGTCATAAAACCGCTTCTTTTTGTTAATTATTTTTTCGATCGTATATTTTTTAAGTTATTACTGTAATCCATTGACTGTAACAGTATTGACATCTTCTTGTACGTATTAATACATAAATACGTACAAAAATTATTACATATTATTATAAAAGATATTCAGAATATTTTAGATCTACTAAGGTAATTAAAATAACAGTAGAAAATAATTATAATAATAACATATAATAATAGTAACATATAATAATAGTAGTAGATATAAATAATAATATTTGTATCTTAGAATACGTTTACAAGGTGAGTAATTATAAAAATATATTTTTTTAAAAGAATAAAATTATGTTTTCTTAATATATATTATATCGATTTTTTCTTTTTTCTTTTCTTTTTCAATTTTTACCTTTCATTTGCTTGAAACAGCTTATTGTTTGCATGTTTTTTCATGCAATTTATGTTTACAAAGTATATTTTTGTAAATATTTTAATTAATAATTATATCAATAATATTAATTATGGTATTTGAAAATAGAATTTATAAATTGTACTTAATAATTGATAAAAATAAAAATAGAATTTATTTTTATTAATATGTAGTAATATATATATTGATAGGATAAGTTAAATTTTGAATAATATTATAAAAATAATGTTTATTTTACAGGATGGTAGACGTCGGTGGACAGAGATCAGAAAGAAGGAAGTGGATTCATTGTTTCGAAAATGTTACTTCTATTATCTTTTTAGTAGCTTTAAGTGAATATGATCAAATTTTGTTTGAGTCAGAAAATGAGGTAAATATTACTATTAAAAAAATTTTTTTTTCTATAGACAATGAAGAATTTAGAAATTAGAAATTATTAATATAATATAAATTATTATTATTATTATTTTTCAGAATCGAATGGAAGAAAGTAAGGCATTGTTCAAAACAATTATTACATATCCTTGGTTCCAACAGTCCTCTGTTATTCTTTTCCTAAATAAGAAAGATTTACTCGAAGAGAAGATTATGTATTCTCACCTTGTTGACTATTTCCCGGAATATAATGGTAGGTATATAACATTAATGTTTTTTTTTTGAAAATCATTAATAATTTAGATTTATGAATAAACTGTGGATATTTATGAAAAATATCCAAAAAATATCCAAAATCTAGAGAATGCTTATAATATAAAAAATTATAAAATATTTAAAATAATATAAATTAAAAATAGAAAATATCTAAAATATTTTTCTTATATCTTATAAATATATTTAATATTTAATAAAACAGATATTTATTTATTTTTATTTAATGAAACAAATATTTATTTTAATATTGTAATTCTATTCACAATTCACAAAAATTTAAATTTGCATAAACATCCGCGATCTATTTATGAAATACTATGTATCACTCGTAAATAAAAATTTATTAGTTGATTCAGAAAATTTTTAATAGAAAATGTTATACAAATATATTTCAAAACTTAATTATTAATGAAAATTGCTAGTTTTCACGTATTTTTTTATATTATGCAAATAAATATTATCTTATGCATCGATATAAATAATCATCAAAAAAGTTGCATAACTAATTACAGTTAATATATTTGCATTTTATACAAATAAAATTTATAAATTTACATATACAAATTAAACTAACGAAAATTAAAACAGTTATATTATTATATATAATAATATAATAATAGTATAATAGTATAATAATTATATAATAAATATATTATTATACATAGTATAATAATATACAAAGTATTATATTATTATATATAAAATATCTTTAATTATTTTTATGATCATAAATTTTACGTCATATTCTATTAATAATTCAAAAAATGTAATCATTTTTTGATACAAATTAAAAAAATTAGATAATTATAAGTCAAATAATATTAAAGATATTAGTAATATTTATTAATACTTTATAATATTATTTTTTGAATAAATCTCGGAAAAATGAACATAACTTGAGGAACTTATATTGAAAAATTTTTTGTAATTGTAAATAAAAAAAAATTTTTTCATATTTAATTTTTAAAAACAATTTAAATCTTGAATTATTTTTTTGTTTCAAAAAATTTGTTTGATCTAAATTTTCCTAAATAAAATAAAAAATAAAAATTTATTAAGAATATGGAGAAATTAGGGAGTAAAATATTATTAATAAAATATTTTATAAAATATATTTTTTCTTGAATATTATGTTTATACTATATAATATTTTCTGTACAAAAACATTTCTAATCAACTAATAAAGTTTTTCTTACTTATAATAATATTTCTTATATATATATATTTGTGCATTTAGATAAAAAAATATTTATTAAATATATTTTTTTACATTTTTATGAATTAATTCAATATTGTAATTTATATTTGTTAAAAGCGATGAAAATGACTTTTTATTCAATACTCATTATAAAATAATACAGAACTATAAAAGGTATCTATATCCCTTTAAATATTACAAAATATTAAATGAAAAACACCTTAGGATGAATTGTCAATAAATGTTTAGAGGATCAGATTTATAATTATTTCATATTGCTTTGGAATATATTATTCAATTGATTGTTAGTAAATGAATAAGTTTTATGGTATAGGCCCTAAACAGCAAGCTGTACCAGCCAGGGAATTCATCTTACAGGTGTATCTTAGTTCGAATCCTGATCCTGACCGCATGTGCTACTCTCACTTCACGTGTGCGACAGGTCGGTTTAAGTATAACGCATCCTGGCAAAAATTGTAGATGTTTTGTAGACAATTTTCTACATCGAGCCAGTAACTATAAATTATAAAATCGTAACTGTATTCTTAAAGCTTAACCCTTTCCATATTATAGAACAGCTATTTTTCATATTTCAATATTATTCATTTTATCAATAATAAATAATACAACTTTTTAGAAGCATATAAAAACAAAATTTATATAAATAAATCATTAGATTTAATTTTTCCTTTAGGTAAATTTATTTATTTTATAATTAATTATCTAAGCATTTTATATAAACATTCTTTAATTTTTTATCAAAAGTATATAATTAAGATATTATGTAATATACTATTACATTATATTATAAGCTGCAAAATGAAAACATATATTAAACTTACATAAGACATTTATCTGATTGGTAAAACTTTTAAAAGGTTTCTTTGAAAGTTAATAAGATAGAATTAATTAAATAATTTATTCTTCCTATTTATTGAATTTAAATTTAAATTAGTTCAGTAAAAAAGATAAAATGAATTTAATAATAGTTTTATATTTGAAAAGATTTATTTTTTTATTTTTATATGAAAACATAATTTTTAATTTCTATATTTTTTTTTTAAATCTTTAATTATATTTTTAAGTTATTTATATATTATATTTTATATGTTTTTTTAAAATAAATATTTTATTGTAGATAGTATAAATCTTGTAATTTTGTCATTAATACTAATTATTTGAATTGATTTTATTCTAATGCTAAAGTAATAATAATATCCTACTGATAATTTAATTGGGAGAAAATGATAATAATATATTTTTGAATAAAAATAGAAGTAAATTCAATTCGTATGCTTGCTTATATATTTCACAGGCCCACAAAGAGATGCCATACCTGCTAGAGAATTCATTTTACAGATGTTTGTCGACTTGAATCCTGATATTGAGAAGATTATATATTCACATTTTACGTGTGCCACAGGTAGGCTGCTAGTAGTTGATAATATTCATTTATTTTTGCTTTCTAATGTTGTGTAAGATAATTTGCATGTTGCCTATATTCTTCAGCATATATCAGGTGCGTAATTTTTATTCTAATATTTATTTATTACAAGAAAATCAATCTAATTTATAGTGTGTAATATAAGGAATTGATAAAATTTTTAAATTTTTTATTATTAATTTGTAAGAATTATATTTTGTGAATATATATTATTTAACGACAATAATGTAAATATTTATTTTCAAAATCAGATTGATTTTCTATATTTAAAATTAATAGTTATAACAATATGTGATTTATTTATTGCATGCTGCATTTATGGGATTATACATCAGACACGGAAAACATCAAGCTTGTATTTTGTGCTGTTAAAGATACAATTATGCAAACTGCACTTAAAGAATTCAACCTTGCTTAATGTGATTATGAACAATTTTTGCATTTATGTATAAAATTTGTTTCTTTTATTGAAAATATATACGTAGATTTTTTACGAAATGATTGTATTTGACTAAGTATTGGTAAATCAAAACTGAAAATAGAGTAATATTTTCTGTGTAGTAAAATTTTAAAACTGCCAGTCTGTTTCCCATATAATATTACTCATACATAAATCATTTTATTATTCAATTATAATTAAAAAAATGAAATGCAATGAAAAATATATTTACATATAAATAATATAATCGTATATAAATATATTCGTAAATAAATAAAAGAATATTTTATATATTTATTAATATTATCAAATTTATTAATATAAATCAAGTAAAGTTTTAGTAATTAAACTATTATATTATTTCAGTAAAAAGAAAGTATTTTTATTTATTTAATAAAAAAATTTAAAAGAATTTTAAAATATTAATATTTTAATTATGTAGAACATTATATAGAAACAACAATTTTTTAACAAATTAATTTTAATTTATAATTGTTACTTTTAATATCATTGGAAGAAATATAATGCTCTGTACAAAATTTTAATGCTTGGATTATATGAATCATATTTACTTGCATGATTATAATTTGAATGTTTGCTTATAATTTTTTTTTAAATTTAATTAAAAAGCAAATTTAATTAACATCAAATTTATTTTACTCTGAAAAATACTAATAATTTTATGAATTCTTTTAATAATAATTTAATTTATTAATTTGTTTATAACAAAAGATAATTAAGTGTATACAATAATAATATATTTGTGGAAGTGTATAAGCTACTTTGTTCTTTAATGGCATATGATAACTATTGCATTACATATAACTTTCTTTTATATATACTTTTATAAAATCTCTGTAATTAATTATAATTTCTATAATTTGTTATGTTCAATTAATCATTATGATATTGATAAACATTGTTATAAATTTATGTGCTTCAGTTATTTAATTTAAATATATCACTATACAATATAACTATTTCATTTAATGTAAAATTTAATAAATGATTCTTATAATATGAATTATATTATATTATATACTTTTTTATACATTAAAAAAAATTGCATGTGCATGTCTATCAACATCAGCTTATTATTAATTTAAAGGTAAGTTCAGTGTATTATTATATTCTTATTTAATAAAAAATATTAATTATAGAAAATTTTAACATTTATAAAAAAAATCTTCATAAAAAGATGATTAAATATTTTTTGTTTATTTAATTCATTAGTCATATTTCTTAATTATTATTAATTATTGCTTAAAAAAAATTATATATGTTAATTCTGTTTTCTCTTACAGATACAGAAAACATCAGATTTGTATTTGCAGCAGTGAAAGACACCATTCTACAATTAAACTTAAAAGAATATAATCTGGTTTAGATGGCAATACATAAAATTCAGGATGGACTTAAGAATTTTTCTTATACCCTGACCAAGGTATCAGTGTGAACTCTGTTAAGTTAGAAATGGAGAAGAGACGAAAAAAGCAGAAAATGAATAGTAATTTATGGTGCCATCAACATTGTCGCTGCTCCATTACAAGTGTACCAACTATTGATTAGTAAAATTTATAACGGAGGTAACAGCGATGAACAAATATGGACCTAAATCTGAGCGTTATACGTTCTTTCCTAACCTTCTCACTGTCAATACCAACAAATTGATTTAGTTTCATACTCTATTTGTTGAATTTATTACCTTTTTATAGATTAGTTTAGTCAATCATGCCTGGCTGACTGCGTAATCGTCTAATTTTTATATAATGATACCATGAGCAACACATAAATAAACATATAAGATAGAATGCAGCCATGCGATACAATGTCTGTCCAAGTGTTCATCTCAAATCGAGAGATCTCAGCAAGAAACTGAAGAGAAGAAGGACAAATACTTTTTAATCACAAATAGTCAGTGACACAAGTGAGAGCAATTCTAGTGCCATTTACTAGTGTGGTGTTTTTATTGCAGTCCCTTCTTAGATGCAAAAAGCCAAAGTGTTTTTTTATCTGTGCCAGAAGCAAGTAAAAATTTTTTCTGCATGTGACTCAAATTCATAATTCATCGTATAAATATTGTTATATATAATATATAAAATGAAAAATAGGTTAGCATTGAAAAAAGCAACATAAAACCAACAAGAAGGAAACTTTACCACCCTTCAATATTAAGAAATTATTAGAAAACATCTGTTTGATGTGATTTTAGGTAATTAGGAGTTGAAAGGTTGCAGATTCTTCTGCTGTCTTTTTTCTCCATAGGCTGTGTACGGAATGTGAGGGCTGCGATCTCATACCATACAATTATAATCCTGCAAGTTACAAACGATGTAAAAGTCTTATCATGATACTTTTCCTTTCATCCAGCCCTCGCTTATTGACACAGCATTGTGTAGCTAGGGACATGGTTTAAGAACATGTGGCCCTAGTTCACATTGTATCCACATTACAGTGTATGTATGAACTGCTCACTGCCTGCGCTCGCTCATGCTGGCTAGCGCGCTGCCCACTGCTTGTATTCTCTAATGGTTCAATAAATTGCTGTTTGTGTCACCTTTTAATGTTCTAAGCAAAGAACATTTGTATAAAGATGATAGAAACTGCTTTGCATAAATCTAGAGAATACTTGCACAATTGACAGTGTTAGTCAAATCAGTGAATTAGGGTGTGACATTTAGATATATATAATCTGAATGTCTAACCCTGATGTTACTAACACTGCACGCACACTGGGCAGCATATGTCATACCTACTTTGGTTGAAACATTGAGTTTATATGAAAGAAAAAATATATAAATACATTGAATAAAATATAATATTAAGAGATAATAACAAATAATATTGAATAATAATAGTAATAATAATAATAATAATTAATAATATTAATAATAATAATATTAATAATAATATTAATAATAATAATAATACTGCTTGGTTTTCAGTGAGAGTGTATAATTAAAAAGAATGAATGACAATGAAAGAGAGGAAATAAATGTGTATTCTCTCAAACTGAGAAAAAATGATAGTAAAAGTGAAAGAAAGAAAAAGAAAGAGAGAGATAGATTGAATGAGTGAGAGAGAAAAAGAAAGAGAAAGTGAAAGTGAGAGAATGTAATTTACAAGGGAATGTCGGCAACTAATTTTAATGAAACTTTGGATAAGTGTTCATTAGATTTATCTAAGAATCTAGCTATAATTTGTTTGTACTATTTTTTAATTTAAGGAAGAAATTAATCTTTTATTCGAATTATCTCTTTTATTTAAGTACTTATAAATTATAAACGACAAAAGATATTAAAAAAATCTAAAATATAAATTATATGTATATAAATTATACTATTTCTTAAAACTTATAAATTTTTGCAAACATTTTTTTGAAAGAATCTTTTTTTTTTTTGAAAATTTTAATTTTTTTGTGAATAAAAATATCTATTCATTATAAATTTAATATTAAAATATATAATTATTATAATTATTCTGTGTATAAAATTATTATCTTAAATTTTGTAAAATTTAATATTCTCTATATTAGTTATTAATTTATATAATTTTTTCATATATTCTACATAACATTATATAAATATAACCATAAAATTAATTTATCAGTAATGTTTTACAACAAAGTTTATTTTGTACTCTTTCTATAATATATATATACATATATATATCTATAAAAATATAATCTATAAATATAATAATAGGAAGCACAATGGAAAACATGGTCGAGATATTATAAGAAATAAATTATATTAAAGATTGAAGAAAATTTATTCGATATAATTATTATAATAGTTAAATTCTTTAAAAAAGTATTTGAAATATAAATATTTCATATATCAAGCACAACGAAGTTAGCTAATTCTTCATATTATATTACATAAATATATTACATTACATAAATTTTCCTAGCCTATTTTGTAAAATGTAATATAATTTATTAAATTTTCATACTAAGACGAAGATTCTTCTATATATGTTTACTTTTGTATGTTTAAACAAATTCTGAAATTTAACCAAGGACAATTCTAAGAAATTGCAGTTTTATAATATTATTTTTTTGATGTAAATTAACATCATGATTTAATAAAATAACTCGTTCTAAAAAAATTTTCACAATTCTTCCATATTTAAAAACCAAAAACATTAAAAGACTGTGTAGTCTTCCTGTTGTCTTCTTTAATATCGCGAGAAAAACTTTACTTCCTTTTTATGAGGAATAAGATCTTATAAGTGTTTTTGTAAACAATATCTATTTCATAAATCTAGCATACAATATATAGTTCAAGATTCTTCATTTAAAATAAAATTTTTAAATAATTTGAAATGGTAAGAAATCAAATTTTTAAATAAAAAAAATAAAATTACAAGTTAATTATTTTGCAGATTTCAATTTAGTTCGAATTAACTACTTACTTTCTTTAAATAATAATAATAATTAAAATAATAATTGTATAAAGAGATGAAAGCAATTCTCATCATTTTTGTTGGTATTGAATAATTAATTAAGTAATTGGTATTGAGTAATACGATATTAATATTCAATTTTATTATTATAATAGAATTATCATATCTATTTCATTATTGAATTTTTTTATTCTCAATAAATTACAAATTTCGTTATTTTATGAAACTATTTATTTTTTTTTAAAAAAATTCGATATGAATTTATCTTTCTATCTGACAATATAATAAAATATTGGCAAATCAATATTTTCATTCACTTATAAAGATTATTTTCGAATATTCATGTCATGAATTATTAAATCTCTATATTTTAAATAATCAAAAATTTTTTTAGATTTATGAATTACGATACAATTTATTAAATATTTTTTTATTTTTTTTGTCGTTTATGATTTATAGATACTAAAATAAAAAGGATAACTCGGATAAAGAGAATGATTTTTCTCTTAAATTAAAAAATGGAAACAAAAATTAAATTCTTAAATGGACACTTGTGCAAAATTTTATTAAAAAATCGACATGTATCAACTACTGACGTTCTCTTGTTAGCTGTATGATATGTATGCACAGCATGTGAAACATTTTAACAAAAGATAAAAATTTGGTTGAGACGAACGGGCTTTCTTTCGCCTGATTCGAGAACGAACGAGTGACACGCAAATTTGTGGCTATAGTTCATTTGTAAATCATTTTTTGTCAAAAGTATACATTTTTCTGAAAGCATAATATGTTGGGTATTCTTTCTGTGTGTATAAAATGTAAACACCTACCAAGCCCAAAATGAAATCAATGTTTCTAACTTATTTATAATAAATAATATACATTAATGATAAAAATAAACGCAGTTTGTGACAGTAATATCAATGCATGATACCGCATTTACCTCGTATATTTACCTCAAAAAATAGTAATCCTTGAATATAATAATAATCCTTGATCCTATTCATGCTATTTTGTGAATTATGTTTAATTATGGCTTTTAATAAAAAAAGTACTTTATTTTCAATTATATTTTGTTTATGTAATAGTTTTTATAAAAATATATATATACAAAAATAATATATGTATATAATTTTATTTAAAAAAATATATATATTTTCGTTTAAAAATGTAAACATGGAATTTATATTATCATTTTTACATGAATTTGTGAAATAAAATTTATATACAATTAATTTGTTATATTAATATATATTCTTTGTTTTATTTAGATAATCATTTTAATGAAATAAAATTAAGAATGGAAATATTTAAACATTAAAAAATATATATTTGTTAATAATTTATTAATGTAATTTAATGATCGTAAATTTTTATTTTATTATTTAAAAAATATAATATGTTGGATATTCTTTTTATATATCATTTCTATTATTATAATATTATAATATAAAAAAATACATTAACAAGTATATTTCATTGTAGTATTTTATACAATAGTCGATTATCCGAATTAATTGAGAGACAAATCTTAGATAAGCAGTTTTTCGAATAATCATAAAATAAGAACCAAATTTATGAGTACACCAAACTAAATGTAGAATGCATTTTCGAAAATGTAAACATTTTTAGATATACTAATTTAAATTTAAATAGCTTAAATATATATATTCACTTAGCTTGTATAATCGAATTTAAATAATTCATTCTTTATTTATAATTTATGTTCTATTGTATTGTATAAATTTTGTTATCAAAAATACATAATGAATTATGAATTTAAACCAAAATAATATTAGATTCTTATAGAAAAATTTGTAATTCGCGCACAAGACTGTTGTAAAACGTAGGCCAATGAGAAAATGGGTCGCCTAGCGGCGCATTTCCAAACATGCCGTTGAATTAAGGCGAGAATGTACTGTGAAAAGAATGTCTGATGCGGTGAAGAGAAAGCGCGCGCGCGCAACGTATGTACATGATCGCGGTGTCGTTTATACAAGTATAATCCTGCGGAGGATCATCGAAAGGACTACACCCCTACAGTAGAGAGAGTCAAGCTTTGTCACTGAATTATACTTGTATAGTGAATAAAACCACGCAGTGAAAAAATGAGTCTTCTGCTAGAAGAGGAAGAAATTGACGAGTGAGTGTTTCTGTCATTTGTAATCATATTTTCTACGTTTAAGTTTCGTCTCCACGAGAGTGTTTCCTCCCTTTGGTTCAATTTGCAAAAAAGGGCTTGGCTATGCGCAAAATTTTATGAGATAATAAACAATTTTCGATGCGTGAATAGTAACATTACGATAGTTGTTAATGATAGATTGTTTATAATAACTGTTTTAATAATTTACATGATTATGTTTCCTATGAAACTTTATGAGATTGTTATAGAAGCTACAAGTGTATAATTGCGAAGACATGTGATTCGAAAATCGAGTCTTTTTCGAAAATATAATTTATGATGTAAATAATGATACAATATACTAAAAAATCATTGTGTTCTTATTCGTGATGTCAATATTTCTTTTATTGTTTGATACATACGATAAATTTTTTCAATAGTATAAATACAATTAGAATTATTTCTTAAGTAAAAAGTTCTGTTCTTATGTTTTTATAATCTTTCTTTGATTTTATGTATAAATAAATTGATATTTAATAGGAAATAAAAAATAATTTATAAAATATTAATTTTTAATATAAAATGAAATTTTATTTAAAATTTTTAATATAAAATGAAAAATTAAAAGATTTAATTTTATGGATGAAAAAAAAAATATCGTCAAAGTAAATAAGAAAAAATGAAATATTAAATTGTATTATATAAAAATATATATAATAAATAAATTATATATAAATTTATAAGATAATAGCATGTATAATTGAATTTAAATCGGAAAAATAAAATTTATGCAAAATTAAGTTTATATCAATGAAAAATACTTATTATTTGTTTACATTGAAACATATTAAAAAATTTTTGCATTAAAAGAAAGATAAAAAAAATATTTGAATTCATGTTCATATACATATATATTTTAGCTATCAATGGTCAGCAACGAAATGGACGATCGATGTGATATGACCATGTATTGTAATAACATGCATGTGTCATGATTCTTTTCCTCAAGTCCATGTATTCGTTTGATTAAATTGTGAAAAAATAAAAGTTATTTAAATTATCTAATTAATTATACGATTATTAAATAATCTGACTATTTTTAACTTTTAATTAATTTATTTTGAATTTTATAAAATATGCTTTTCATTATTAAATGACTAGTATATAATATGAAGTTGCATTTAAACAATTTTTTAGTATTTTAATATGATGTTTTTATATATAAATAATTTTTTTTATTGATTTTTCTTTTAAGAAATCTAATTTTTTTACGCAAATTTTAGTAATATAGTCAATAAATATTTTTAGATTCTCAATTAAAAATAATTGAATTCTAATTACCAAAATTTTTATATGAAATATACATTAATGTTTTTTTGTATTTGCATTCAATACATATATAATTGTATATATATATAAATAAATTTTCTGTTTTAAAAATTTAATATCCTTAATATAATTATCGTATTTCATTGAATTTAAGAAAATTTAATTATATAATTTATGATGTGATAATAATATTATTTAAAGTGTTTAATAAAATAAAAAGATTTAATAGAATAATAAATCTTAAAAAATAATTCTAATATTAATTACAAAATAGATTTTGTTTGAAAATCTATTGCTTGTTAAAATATTTTGTTTAAAAATTAAAATTTTCATTTTTACATTGAAATTATTTTTCTTAAAATATATTATTTTTCATACTATAACAGTTTGGAAATTGGTTCTTTTCTATTAAATTATTCTGATATTATCATATTTAATATTCTATTTGATAAATAATTAAAGAATCCTTAGTTTAAAATTTTTTAATCTTATTATATTATACAATTTTATATTATTAAAAAAAATATTGAATATATTCTTATTTTATAATTTCTAATATATTTATTAAATCATTTTACTAGATAATCATTTTACTAGATAACTAATTACATTATGTTAAATTATTTAATTCTTAATTTAAAAAGAAGAGAGAGTAAAAAAAAATTCTGAATAGTTTTAATTAATATTAATTATATATATGCAATATAAAAAAATTAATATAGTATACTGTTTATAAAATATTATTTTTGTTAATAATTACATTTAAAAATTTTTATATAACAATTCAATTCATTTATAATTCATCATTTTTTTTTATATGAATAATATTTTATTCAAAATTTATTCAAAATAATTTACATTTTAACAAATTAGAATTGTCCAACGATATTAAAACACGAATACAATTAATTTATTTTTATATGTATTAAAATATTTAATAAATATAAATTCTATGTTCGATACATATATTTTTTTTGTTTTCACTAGTATTTTACACTTTTGAATATATCTATCTTTTTGAAATTACAAAATGCGATGTATTAAATATTATTTCACAAATACCATTTTTGTTAATTTGATAGATATCGATTTTTAAAGTTAAAATCGATCTGATTTTTTTTATAAATGTATATATAGATTTATTTTAAAATGTGTGCTAAAAATTTTAAATGCATTTGAATCTCAAGTACGTAATTTATTGATAAAAAAATCGATCATTAATATCTGTTTAATAATAATAATTAAAAGGAAACTTTGTCTATAAAAAATATATTGTGTATTTCTAAATATTGTTTCTAAATATTTCTAAATATTTCTAAATAATCTGTATTTCTAAATATATTGTTTAATTATATTAAAATTTTTCAAGTTTTCTTTTTTTTTTTTTTGCTTTCCTTTTACACAAATATCATTATTTTAAATATTTCCAATTTTTTATTTTTAAAAAATGTAATTTTTTGGTTAAAAATCTATTGGATATAAACAAGAATTGAATTTTAATTTTTTTTCGAGATACTTAAACTACATAAACTGCGCTAAAAATAAAAGAAGGTTGCATGTTTTAATATGTTCCAGGATATAGACAACGCATGTATTAAACTTTTATCAACATGATTCCATTTTATTTAAGAACTTTAAGTTACATAAAGAATCTTGTTCAGATATTATAAAAGATATTCAAATATAGATTATTCAAATATAGATTATAATTTCTTTTTCTGTATTTTCTATTATACGAACACGATAGTAGAATTTTTTAATTATATAATTGAAAAAAAGAAATAGTATTGTTAAAAATTATTGTTATTTATAAATATTAAAAAATTTACAATTTTTAATTTACGACATTTCAAACATTTTAATATTTATTTTATTAAAAATAATCAAAATTTGACTTAATTCATTAAAAATTCAAGCATTTTCGAGCATTTGCAATTATCTAATAAATACAAATTTCAAATTTAATTATAACCGCAAATGTAAATTTATATAAATATATATGTACATATCATATAATATAAATTTATATACTGCAAAATAAATTTAATTAGCATAGTATATTTTCGTAAAATAATTATACTATATAATAATATTCCTAAAATAATTAATATGAAATTAATTATTATATAGAATATCTAGAAAATTTCTGCTTAATTTTATAAATTATGTCACACATTAAGGATATTTATAACTATCGTGAATCTGTTACAGCGCACAAGAAAAATCAATACGTATATTTAATTATTTATTTATTAATAAATAAACATCAAAGACAATTAAAAATAATATTATCGAATTTAAACTAATCAAATTATACCTATGTAGATTCATTTAGATTATGTAGATTTGTTTAATAAAAATTATCTAAAATTATCTAATAATATTAAAATATTTTTTTTAAAATTTATTTTTCATTTATCAAGTTAGAATTATTTTTACTTGTTAGCAAGATTTTTATTTTATCGCATATCATCATTTTTCTAAATGATTTAATAACTCGATTTAATAAATCGATGATAATATCAATGAGAAAGAAATCAATTCTATAATTTAATAAAAAATTGAATATTAATCATATTAATATAATTTGGAAATATTTTGTTTACAGATTTTTTTAATTTAATTCACAAATTATAAATTATGAGAATTTATGAAATTATTTATTATGAAAAGAATTTATTATGAAAATTTTGTGATTTATTTAAATTTTCTGTAATATAATTACAGATAATTATTTTAGTTATGCAATGTAACATTGAAATTAATTGAAAAAAAGTATAAATATTACAATATATTTTTACTCTATTGAAAAGAAAAAAAACAAAATATTGACAAGAGTAGTTTTCGTTAAATACTTCGGCTATCATAAATCATAATTTCCATGTTTTCCATTGCAAGCAAACATCTCTATTTAAAATTTTATTTCGCACTGTTTCGCATGAATATATATCTGAATATATACCTGGCCGCACCCTTGATGTGTCTGATTCTTCGGTTTCTATGACGACGAGGATAGAATGTCAGAATTGTCTCATTGTGTTTCGAAAGGATGAGACATGATCCGATTTGAAAAGTGCTCTGTTTTAGAGTTATATGAAAAAATCAGATATACTAATATTTGAAAAATATTTGTATTTTTGACGCATGAGAAATGAGTTATTAAACTGAAAAATAAAATAAATGATAATAATAATACTATAATCAATATGAATAAATAATAATAAAATGTTGTATTTTAATGATACATATAATATGATAATTTAAAAATTTTAAAATAATCAAAAATATTTTTCTCTATAATTTTTTAATTAATTTGTAAAATAAAAAGAAATATATATAAATCAAAATTGAATGTCATTTATTATTTTACTTTAAATAATATTTGAATAATGATCATTTTATTTCGTTTAACTATTTTTATTTGATGTAACAACAAGAATATAAAGGTAGAATAGTTTTTCTACGTGAAATCTATTCTTAGAATTCATTTTCCATATTATTTAAATCTAATTACTTTTTTATGTACTTTTTAATCTGAAACGAAATTTGTATATAAGAAGAACTTTATTATTTGATTATTTAAAATAATTAAATATTTTAGAATTTATTTATAAATATCTTTAAATAAATTTATTTTTTATTTTATTTGAAATAATTATTTTTTCCGTTTATTATTTTATTTCAAATAAAAAATATCCAAAATCTCTTTGCGTGTATTCGAACAATCATTTTCTATCTGAATAGAAAGTCTCAAGTATTTTATGGTGATTTCACTGAACCTTATTGATTTCCACTTTCTGTTGTATTTCCACAGACAGAATAAGTACAAGGTAATCTACACGAACGAATAAAAGATAGTAACTTGAATAGAACTGAACAGAATATCATTTATTCTTACATTAATCATCTCAATTTCACTAAATATGTTTAGAAAACTAAAAAAAAAAAAAACAATAATATAATTATGATTACATATTTCTTTCATATTTATGTAATTTTGCTTATTTTCATTTTATATTGTTGTAATGTACCTGAATTTGTGATAATTTTTTCCTGAAGATTGATTAAAAAGAATAAAATAATAAAGTAAATTTTTATTATTGTTCTGTTGTGCTCTTAAATATGACTTCTAAGATTCAGAGAAAGACTAAGAAACATTGAACTCAAGTAATCTTGACAAGAGGCTTTGTGTTTTATTCTAAATTTTTTTTTGAAAAAATTTTCACAAGTTGTTTTCAACTACCTTTTTTAATCATCTTGTCTAAATGAGAATTTTACAAAAGAAAAAAATCTTAGCGAAAAAATTCTGCACGTTGTTCTCTTGATTTTCAAAGAACTACTAACAATTTTATTATCTTTTCTGCAATTGATATTATCTCGCATACCTTGATTGCGTTATCATTTAGACACAACATTCACTTATTTATTGACTTCATAAGAATTTTTTATAGATGTACATATTTCTATTATATTTATCTTGTTCTCTTTTCTTGTTTAATTATATTTCATATTTTTTTGCAATAAAATTTTAATACGAAAATATAATTATTTAATTATTTTAATTATTTTTTCTCTAATTATTTTATTTTAATTAATTATAAGTATATAAAATATAATTAAAATATAAAAGATATTAATACAAAAAAAAACAGCATTATAATTTTTATGTATAAAAATAATATAAATAGAAATATAATAAAGTGTTCAATTATGAATTATTATTCGCATTTTTATGCGTTCGATCATAAGTTGTTATATAATTTCGAATTTATTCCATAAAAAATAAAAATATAAAAATTAATAGAAAGAAATGAAAGATATTTATATTTTTTTGTTTTATTAAATTATCATAACTTTCTATATTATTTTATTACAATTTTTGTTAAATTATGCTTTATTCCATTATAAATTAATGAAAAATTTATATAACGTGAATCATGTTAAAATATTTCGTTATTTTAATCGTTTTTTAAAATACATAAATATACAATATAATTTTTCATTAATATATATATATTATCAAATTACATTATCAAATATGAAAATTAAATTATTGAGGTACATTATTATATGTATATATTAAAGGTGATAATGTTATACAAAGTTGGACTTTTACTTTAAATGTTAATCGACCTCCAGCAGAGAATAAATAGAAACTGTTCGTGCAGCATAGAAATTATCGATGAAACAAGCAGCACGCCAACCCTAGTATAATTCTGAACAAGAACAAAAATACAGGTATACATGTATATAGGTGATGTATATGCATATATAAAATATGAAACTTAATAAAAGAACGAATAACTTAATATATTATATAACATATACATCTTAAGTAAAATTAATTAAAATTTATCTTATCAAATTATATTATGAATTTTAAGTTGGAAGATAATTTGGTATACTTAAGTAACAAAACAAAAAAAAAGGAAGTGTCACGTGAACTTATGTTATTCTTTTAGATATGAATAGTGTACATATTTTTTTTCAGAATAAACATGAAACAACGTATTTCGTTTGATAAATAACAGTTATTTTCACGCATTCTTCTTTTCATTCTTTATATTTCTCACAAAATAGGAATGCTTTGCAACTGAGAAAGAAACATATCTGCAAGCATAAAATGTTATTTTTAACTTAGAAAAACATATAGATTATACAAAGCAAATCAAATGATATATCAGTATATATTTTACTACAGTAAAATCCAAACGTTCTATTATTTAAAATTTTCTCGTTGCGGATATTTTATTATCTTAATATCATATTTTTTACTAAAATATTTATTTTATATAAATATAATTAAATTTATTCGAATAAATAATATTTTATAAAACGCCAAATAAAAATCATTATTTATAAAAATTAATTGAATTAATTAAATTAAATATATTGAATTAAACGAAAATATAATTTTTAAAATAGAAAGTATAGATAATAATTAATATATTATTGGACAATGAAAAAATATAAAAGATTAATTTTTTTTAAGTAGGAAATCTCAGAATAACTATAGGTAATGGAATAGAATTAAAAAAAATTATAAAAAAGTTGTTAGTCTGTTTTTTTTTTCAAGTTTGTCCTTAATTCTGAATTACTGATTAAAATTTATTTCAATAATTTTTTATAATAACAATTTTATTTTTCAACATAATCCATTTTAATTATTTGTTAGTGAATTGTATCTATATATATATTATTATCAATGAATTATTTTATTTTTTCTCATTGAATCAGAATTAAAAACACAATATAAATCTAAATATCCATTAATATTCTGAAATTATAATTATTTTATAATAACTTATTTATTTGATTTTTTAAAAATCACACAATAAACCAGAATAAATTCCATTTAAATATATATGTTTATAAATTTCTTGTAACTGTAGAAACAAAAAATATTCATTAATTAAAAAAAACATTAATGAAAGATATTTTAAAATTTTTCTTCTTTTTATTTTCATTAATAATCTCATTATAATATATAAATTAAAACTGATTCATTTTATCGATTTTACTTTATTCTTTCTAGTATTGAGTATTTTTTTTTTCTTTTTTTTACCATATTTTTAATAAAATAATACTACTAGTAATTTAAAGAAATTTATCATTATTATTATTATTATTATGTTATTTATTAAAAAAATTGTTGAAGAAAGTGAAAAATATATATATTTATTGATACTAATTATCGATAATAATAAAATATTTTGCAATTAAGACATGTATCACACCTTGTCAATGATTACATACGTATATCACTGATGGTATACATATGGCACTCCTCTAAATGATAACGTTATCGATTGAAATTAAAATAATCTTTGTGCAACTTATTGTGCAAAAATTTTACTTTGTAAAATAACAATATTTCATATTAAATTCATTATTATGATTGTAAAATAATATTTTATTTTTTAATTTCTATTTAAAATTGCAAAGGAAAATTAATTATCAAGTTTACTATTTTAATTACTTTAGTGATGAATGATCAATGTAGATATTAATATAGATAAATATCAATATTTTTTTGATATTTTACTTTGGATATTAAATTTAAAATTAAATGTGATCACAATAAATAAATTAAAAGAAATTACTTATTTTATCTTCTCGTATAAAATATTATTTTAAAGGATATTTGTATAATTTTACATATAATTGTACCATTTTCCAGATGTTTAAAACAACAAGTTTATTGAATCTAAATACTTTTGATTTCATTTTTTGCATTCACGAGACATTAAACAAATAATATATCTTGAAAATATGTTGAGTAAACTTGAATCTGGATCACTGACCAGACAATTGATAGACAAATCGATAACATAATGTTTCAAAATGTATATTAATGCTAAGATATCTAGAGTTTTAAAAATTATATTATTACATTATTTATTATAATATATACATATATATAATTTTATTATTATTATTATTATTATATTTAATATTTATTCTGTATTAAGAATTGAAAGTAAATCTAATAAGATAATAATAAATTATCTGTCCTTATATTAAATTTTTATTTATATTTCAGAAATTTAAGAGACATAAATTTAGCAAGACATAATTGTAATAAATTTAAGAGACATAAAATTAGCGAGACATAAATCCTCCATAAGAATATTTTAAATTAATTTTCAAAGAATTTTTAAAGATTTTATTTGCCAAGCTTTATTTTTTGTGTTTAACGAAAAATATTTTTTTATATAATGTTAATGTATAGATTTGTTAGCTCTCTCTCTCTCTCTCTCTCTCTCTCTCTCTCTCTCTCTCTTTCATCATACTGCCACCTTTTTTTACTTCCATCTTGCTTCATTTAACGCAAATTTAAATTATTTATAATATAATAATATTATAAATATAGTATAATAAGTAAGGCTTAATCGATTTGTGTACCAATTTTCGTAATTATTTTGGTCTTTAGAATCAACTTTCTAAAAACATCAGCGAATATATTGACAATATTTTAATCTCTATAATATATAATAATCATAATACTATTATTTACATAATACTATTTATTTTTATAAATAATTGCAGAAATAAAAAATAAAATATTAAGTGAAATGAATTGGAATGAATTAATGGATAAAAATTAAAACTGCAAATATATATTTATTTCAATTAGTTTATAAGTGGTATTTATCATTATTATAAATATTATTATCTTTTTATACTTTTAAAATTATCTATTAACGAATTTTTAACTGTAAGAAAACTTGTTAAAGATAACTTTATGGTTAGAGGGTATTCCCTAGATTCTAAAGTATTCCTTAGAACTTATGGTATTTTCCTTTTTCTTATTCATCGTTTCGTAATCTTTGAGACTTTTTATTTTTTTATAAGATCATTATTTCAAATATTCAATGAAATATATTATAATAAAAATATATATCTATAATTAATCAAACAAACACTTTTTTAAAAGAAAAATATTGCTTCAAGAAATTTTCATTCGTGTATTATTTTCAAGAAAAATTATTTTTAATGATTATTTTAATTTTTAAAAATATAACATGAATTATTATAAATATAGCTGAAATAGTTTTAAATCAAATAATATAAAATATGATTTTTATCGAACTCCACGAAACCTTAATAAAATATGAACATATATATTATAAATTTTTTTTTGTTATTAACAATTAATAATTGTTTTAATCCTAATGAAAAAAAATCGATATATTTAAAAGTAATTTAAAATAATCAACTTCATTTATTAACATGTATGATATAAAATGATATAAAATTTTAAAATATTGTAAAAATATATAAATATATTAAAACTGGAATTATATATTTTTTTAATTTATTAGTTTTTTTGCTGTTAATAAATTTTTTATGAATATAATGCAAACAATGTATCATTAATTGACGTTAATTCACCAAATATGTTCATAATTAGAGATAAATTAAGATATTAAGCAGAATACCGATAAAAAAAGAAATTTCGTAAGATTCTTAAATCTTTGCACGTAACATCAGTGTTTCTTTTCACAAATTTTAATTCGGAAAGATTTGTTTTCGTTTTAGGTTAAACTGGTTTATACGTATATATATAAATATATATATATAAACGTTGGCAACGTTAATTATGATTATATGCGCGTGATTATATAACAAATATATTTTATATTTTTTAAAATAATTAATATCTATTTTTTGTATAGATATTGTAGTTTTTTTTATATTTTTTATATATTTTTATGTTATTTATAACATTGTATAAATTAGAGAAAATTTCTTTATTTTCATTTTTTATTTTATTTTAAGAAAAAAGAAATTTAGTG